TTATCTAAATAATCATAACAAAAAATGCCTTTTCTACAAATCAAATCAAACTTCTCTTCTTCTAGATCACTGAACTCTTTTCTGAGGTTGATAAATTGTGTTTTTTCCAGAAACGATGCCAAATGATCTAATTTGAATGCCATGAAACGATAGGAATCGACGAATCTGAATTTTATGTTAGATCTAGAATTATGTTGTGTGAAACTAATATATCTTTCCTTATTTATTGGGAGTAGAGTAACTCGAGAGTGTTTTGCCAAATCTTTTATAATGAAGTGGCTATCATATCCCGATAGGTTGTGAAAGAAAATGGGAACGGTATGAGAATTTGTATATTCGAGGTTACATTTCGAATGACTAAATCCGCGGAATCGCCCTGTATAGTGGTCATGGTCGCGAACGATGGTGTCTGATTCGATAAACGTTCTTTCACAAATGTGACATGTAGTTTTATCAAAAATTTGTCCAGCATCTTTGCTCATTGGTATGTTCATACGCAATTTTGTCTCAATAAAAAGTGCTAAGTCATCTAACTCTTTCACGAACCACTCGATGCAGTCGATACCACGGTAACTTTTGTAGAACGATAAACTCTCATCAAAAGTACACTTCACATAATAACTCACACTGAACGTTTCATGTTTTTGATATCGAGATGTTTTTATGATTTTTCTTCTGCATTGTTCATCTTGTAGTGGAATGAGTAGTGATTCAAAATCACTGTAAACGACGAAAGGAACTTTTTCTTTGTGACGAAAATTTTTGAACTCCAAAAACTTTTCCTCGGGAAATTCTATTTTTGATTTATTTATTTTTGAACAATATATATCATGAGCTTTCAATTTTTCTTGGGAACTGAAGTAATTCAAACATGTATCGCAAATGATTTTTTTACCATTTCTCTTCCCAATTTGCTTAGAAACTAATCGTGATAGGTTCTTTATCCAACAAAAATGATACTCAACAGAATCCTCATCTTCGTTGATATGATCAAGTAATGACATTTCCATGTCACCTTCTGAATCCCCATCATTGAAATATTCTTTTTGAATCATCAGAAGGTTGACATGCCTATTCGAAATCTTATTCTTAGTGGTTCTCACAGGTACAGTTGAAAAATTTCCAAATCGATCGGTTTCTAAAATGAATACATTGATTGATAGATTGTTGAGAATTTCAAATTTATTGATCTTATTCAGTCTCATTGGCATGTTTATTCCAGTCATATCCAGAACCTCACTAAAATGAGGGTATGAATGAGTTTTTCCAGCATTTTTTTCTGCGGGATATAAACAAGACGTCACTGCCCAAGCGAAGCAAGCTTCATCTGAATTTTTGATGTTAATACAAGCACGTTCGCGAATTATTTGGTCAGGAAGTTTGATATAAGAAGAACCTCCATACCCCATTTCTACCTTATTGAAATTAACTTCCAAATTGATTATTTTATGCAGAGTCCATCCACTGTCTCGCTCTTGGAACTTCTCAATCAAAAACCCAAAATATCTATCAACTCACTTTTGTTTAGGATGTTTCACTTTTCACAATATATAAGTTTCGACACGAGAATATTTCACAATGCTCATCTACCCAACGCTATTCTTTTTATATCAATCTTCCCACTTCAAACTGTATCCCCACCTTGGAATAAAACTCACTTGTTTACCCAACATGAATAATGGTAGGATGATATCATCAGATTTATTTTCATTGAATTATATGTGACATCACTTGTTTACTATGAGTGGTGATGCATCAGCTATTGATGATGACAAATACATTATTTCATTTCGCATTTCATCATAACACAGGCAATCAAACAATTTCGGATGACCAAACACCTAAAACATTTTTAAAATTGTAGGAATTTTTAAATTCACATGTTCTATATTCTATACAATCTTTTTTGCATTTGAAACAATGAATATGTGCAAATGCATGAATATGTTTATTATTACAGAACAATGATGCTGAGTATTTTTTCATTTCCGAAACCAAATCTGTACGGGAATAACAAGACGGGCACAAGATGAAATGTTTTCCATTAACTGGATTGAACAAATGATAATACTTGTTGCAGCTCGCATATTTAGTATGACACATATTCTCGTTGATGAAATTATCCAACGGATAATTCTTCTCAGGAATCTGGTAGGGTTCTCCACGTGAAGGAAAACTCAGCTTTATCTCAACATCTTTTCCACCATCGAACTCTTCATCATTTATAATTTCTCCATTACGCGTAATTGGGATCACGCAATGATATTCATCCACAAAGTCATATGACTGACCTGACATACTACTGATGGCACTATCTTCAAATTCAGACATAATGATACGTAACTGAAGAGGATTACAACAGAACTGATGAAAAAATACATTTTTTCATGATTTTTATACATTTTTGGAAACCATTACTGTCCACCCTATAATCGAAATTTGCACCGGTAGATTGTGCATAGTGTCATGGTATTATCGATGAGATCATTAGTGCTCGATAAACAAACTTATTGTTGTTGTTGCGATGAGATCATTGAGGCGTGGAAACGACGGATAATTTGTTATTGTTCTCTGCATAGTGACCATGGTATTATGTTAATCGATGATCGAGCGTGATAAACAAACACACCTAGAAAATTATTATTGAATTCATTACACTGATGAGATCATGGCATAGGAAACGTAAACAGGGTGATTTCTAACTCAAAATAATATCAGCCCAAATTACCAAAAATCTGAGGACCAGGTACACTGAAAAACATTCCGAGGTATGCGTGACGTCAGGGTTCTTCAGTTTACCTACCAGAAGGTCTGCAACGTCTTCAGCTGCACATGGAAGAACTTGATGGCCGTTTGAGTTAGAAAGAGCATAGAGCCTTTTTGATTTCGTAATCTCGTGATTACTCTACTTAATCAGATATTCATGTCATTTTGACTATTGTGATTATTATTGATATAAAAAACGCGATTATTATAAGCTATGGCCGGAGGTTGATTGGAAGCGGTAGCTCGTTCTTGCTTTAGAGCTTCATGACTCGAATTAACAGGAGTCGAAGCAGAACTCATTGCATCAAAATATATTTCCTGATGGTGACCGGAATCTATATGCAGATGTGATTTTATGAAGTGACTACTGTGTCCTGTGATTTTGATCAATTGTTGTTCACCAATTCCTGTTTTGGCTAAAGTTGAAACAGCAGTGGCTCTTGCATAGTGTTTTGTTATTTTGTCTAGCTGGACAGTTCTTGTGCCAACCTTTGAAGTTTGGGTGCTGCTAATTTGGATTGAAAGTTAAAAATAAACGGTTGGTTTTGATGAGATTGTCATCTCGCATGCTTTTCAACTCCTTGAAAAGTCTCACTGGGCATAGTTCTCCATCGAGTATATTTGGTACTAACCACTTACTGAAAGCCTTTCTTCTTGAACCGCCTTGGGTAGTTTCAGAAAAAAACTGGATTATATTCAATTCGGCCTATTGATTTTCCTTGATTATCAGTTTCCTCCACGAAATATTCTATGCATGTTACAGATCCTTCAATTCCTGTCAAGGCCAATTTATGAGCAGCGATGTAGAAAAACTGCAATCCATCTGGGGTGTTTTTATCACAAAACTCAATAATTTCCTTCAACTCGTCTGTTGATATAATGCAGATGTACTTGTATTCCTCTTGGCTGGGTCCCTTTGTAACTTTTGACGCTTCGCATTTTTCGTAGCTCTTGCGTTTTCAAATTCAATATCAGAAAATGGATTGAATTTGCGATTTCACCTTTCGAAAAACTATTCATGCAGCTGCTTGGCTGTGAAATTCCATAAAACTTTTACTGCACTTTCCTCGAAGTCTTCAGAGTTTTTTTTCGCATATTGAACTTATAGTCTTCAAGAATCAGCGTCAGTTTCTCTACAAGTATATCCGCTCCATCAGAATCATACGATTCTTCATTGCCAAAGTTTGTAAACTACCTCCATATGCTTGACTTGGATTTATTAATATTCGCGGGTGTTAACTGCTGAATCTCCTGACGAATACTTTCCATACTTTCTTGACCTAAGGGAGACATTTTCTTCACGTCGTGCTCCTTGACAGATTCAGAAGTCAAGTATATTTATTGGTGCTATGGTACTTGACAATTGGGTCAATGAAAACATTTTGTTCTGCTAGTGTCTTGTGAGAGTCAACAAATAAATTATTATTTATTATTTCATTTTGAAACACAATCTGATGTGAAATATTCTTACCAAATACCATACGAGGTCAAAATTCTTTCCAGAATTTTCCCACTCACGAATTATCAGAATATCCATGAGCTCAATAGAATTTCCGGTAATGATTTGACGACCTCTAGTGGTATCACAAGTGAAAATATTGAAAACTTTGGTAGGTATCTCTCGTTGTAGATATGACGTGAAACTATTTTCACTGAAAAGTGCATTTTGAAATTACTCAAAACATCATATTGGGTAATTGAAAATTTGATGTATAGTGTACCATTTTTTATATACTCTCATCGTAACAGTATTTCAATATATTTATTTTACTGCATTTCTACATTTTTATTATTGGTTTTTTGACGATATAAGAGACATTAGACTACTACTGATATAATACCAAGTTTCGATTTTCACACATGAGATCAAGAAAATAAAAATCATGAGGATATAAAAACATCACTTCTCGATATTATTCTCAGACACATTTTGTATATTATATTGTGAGAACCTTTCATAGATGAAAAACCCAAAGTCATCTCCACAGCTTCAAAGTTGTGGAGATGACTTTGGGTTTTTCATCTATGAACTACACCACTCCACTTTGAGGTACCATGGACTCCTTAGAAAGTGAGAACCTTTCTTGAATTGCTTATCCGACTGCATCTGAATAAACAGTTCTTGATAACTTTTGTCAGTTTCTGGAAAAGTATATCACTTTTCGGATGATTTCAATACCTTTTTTATATTTCTCAAATAGTTATCAACAAATCAATAATTTTTCAATTTTCAGGTTTTACGTGCATCACATAACAACATTGCTGATGTTCCAAATGATTTATTCCGCTTTTTGACCAATCTCAGGATAGTCGACCTCTCACATAACAGGTTGCGATCTCTTTCTGATAACCTATTCAGAGAGGAGGGTCTTGAAAGACTGGACATATCTCATAATTTCTTGAGCAAATTACCATTGTCCAGCATGACAGTTGCAACTGCTATGACTCTTTGCGAACTGGATTTGTCATGGAACAGCATTTCTTCCTTATCTCATGGAGGATTGATTACAAGATTCAAGGTAATTATTTTCGAAAATTGAATTTGTATAATAATGAATATTCGCATGTTCTTATCTGACTTCACGTCACTCATCATGAATATATTGTTTGTTACAATATGAAATAGGTGATCCGATTGCGATTTCATTTGAGGTGCCTTTAAAAATAGAGTTATAGTATAGAAAGCATGAACTTGAAACTACTCACCTATATTTAGGACATAATTGATAATATCTCGAAATTAGTTTTGATTGTTCTATAGTATACATTCGGGTTGATTTTTGAATTGAATCAAGGAATGCGAATCCAAATATGTGATGCTTCATTATTTGTTGAATTTATTACACATAGAGTATATTGATGGTGAATTGGTCGATTTATCAGTTTCTGGTGTGATAAAATATCTGCTTTCAAACGTTTGATCTTGGTACATGAGAATTCAGTTAGGATAATAATTCAGGACAATAAATCATTCATGTTCTTGACTAGCTTGTACAAAAAAAGGATGAGGAATATGTCCTACGGCTTTCTAGAGATAGGAATTTGTTACGTTTTGGCAGAGCATTGTTGTCTAATCCTTGATTACGATATTCTCTATCCAATTTCCATGACACATACTCCATAATAAATCTTTGTACTGGCTTCATTTGATAGATATGAGTATTGTTATATAACCAAATTGAAGAATCATATTCAAGGTATTACCTAACGTAGCATTTTTGGCAGATGCTATCGTTTTGTTAATATGATGAAAAAATGAAATTGTAGTTCGTCGTCGAGAAGATTTCCTAGATTCGAAACTTGTTGTCCTGCTGAATGGATATATTGTTCATGGTGTAATCAAAAGATATGAAGTTATTTTTCCGTACATATTCATATTTTTGTATATTCAGTGGTGATTTGTTTATCTTACACCATTCATCAGATTCATTCAAGTCCCGTGAGAGTAGTTCTGAGGTCTGGTTTGTTCCCCAAATGTATTGCTTCATTGTAATGCAAATGTGGACAAAGAAATCAAAATTGCTGTGTTTAATCGCTCATAGAACGAATCTATATCAAATTGTGAAAATTCCACAAACGATAAGATTTCCACATAATTCTGATTTACTCGGCATGTTTCGCTGACACAGTAGCTTCTTCAGATGAAATATTGGTTCAATGAACTGAACGAAACCTGTGGAAGGTATGCAGTCGTTCACAGAACGCGGGCACAATATCTACATAAAAGTACAATGTGATGGAAATTGGAAGGGTTCGTTACGAAAATCACCTACTAAGGAAACACATGCAACAGCGGTGAATTATTTAGGTCGGGTTGATCGTTAAGTAAAATGTTTGAATTTTCGCGTTTATTGAACTCTAATGAATCAAAATGATAATAAATATAGCAGAAGTATCGTCATCATGGCTTGATGAGGCTCCTAATCATATGAGTAGAATCAAAGTGAACCTCGAGTATGCCTGCTTTGAAACACATATTAGGATAAACAGAAAAAAAGCTGAGGATTTGATACCGTCAAGTTGGGTGACTTGAGACAGTTTCAAAATTCAAAGGACTGTGAAATTGTATTCCAGCAAATTGAAATTATGAAACAAGGACACATTTTTGAGTCTACATACATTCTCCAAAATTGAATAATAAGAATGAGCTAAAATTCATCAGGGCGGTGACTTGAGACAGTGATTTGTTCTCATTATAAACTCAAGATGGACCGTCAATTGGCGGAATTGAGACATTAATAGTCTTTTCAAAAACGCAATAGAACATATTGTTCCATAAACACAACTCTCATTTGGAAAAATATATTCATCTTGAACATTTTACATTTTCAATACAAAACTGAATTCCAGTACAATCTGCGGCGTTGCCAACCCTTCTCAGGAACACCTGAAGTTTTTTCTCAAGTCACCAGGCAGTCTCAAGTCACCCAACTTGACGGTACATGGTTTTCCCAAAATTAGAGCAGTTACTGAAGTATGCAACAAGAGTCGAGAGATACAGAGAGATACAGAGAAGATACTGAATAATGAATTTGTCCAATTGGAGTATATTCATGGAATTGAATAGTTGTTTGAAAAATAACCCCTATTGAAATAATTCTCAAACTAACTTTCAAGTTCACTTCTAACGTTTTCAAATCATATTCCGACTCATTTTCCTCAGGTTACTACAGTTAATTTCTCCCTGATACCTGATTATCTCACGTAGGTACTATTCAACTGATTATCAACCCCTTTTCCAACTAAATTTGTAACATCCCAATCAAAATTCAATTATTTATACAGGGTATTCTCTGACTATGATTCCTTACTGCAGGTGGTGATTTGGTAGATCATTTTTGAAGAAAAGTTCCATACATGCGTCGTTTCTGAGATACAGGGCGATGAAATTAACGAAAAAAAAAACGGTAATTACAAAATACCCTGGAACCGATTTGGTTGGAATTTTGTACTCCCATTTGAACTAATAAGGCTCTCATTTATCCTTACTCAGATTGAAATTATTGAGACCAGTGACGTCTCAGTGGGCACCACAGCCAACAATATTGTGGAACAAAAGGACGCCACTGACTTTTTTTGGTGAATTTTCATATTTTTTGGATCACGCAACCCAAAAAACAACTTTTTGGTGTCCTGTATTTTTTTCATATCCAGCTGCGTTTTCGAGAAAAAAAATTCAAGCCACTATATTGCATATCATGAACACCTGCATTGAAGAAATGAGTTTGTCATTATTTCTGCCGAAAATATAATTGCCACTTGATATGCTGACATTTCAGAAAATTTGACAAATAAATGCACCAAATTTCAACCAAATCGGTTCCAGGATATTCTAGATATTTTATAATAACCGTTTTTTTTAAATGTGAGATAAATTGACATTCATCATACAGGACGTGGAAAGAAATTCTGGATTGAGAAAAACCTAATCACGAATATGCGATTGAGGTCTATGAAAATAACAAGTTTACATCGTTCAAGTTTAAACTCCTTGATTGAATGAAAGTATTGGAAAGGAACATTCTCAGATATATTTATAAACACAAAAAAATGGATATATTAATATAAAGAAAAACAGTGAGAATTCGCATTCCCCATATGATGAAAATATCAATTCTTCCACGGTTTATTCAACAGAAAACAACTACTTCTCTGGCTATATGCCACGACGAATATTGGATTACATCTAGTGAACACACACGATGAGAATTTGAGAACAAAATCTTCTGAAGTAGAGAATTTGCATTCTCCTTCATATAATGATATGCATATAGTATAATTCTGAATATTCCACAGAAAACAACTACTTTCCTGGCTATTTGCCACGTCGAACATTCAATTATATCTGTTGAATATCCAGAAAGAGAGCATGAAAGATCAGAATCCTCTGACAGTGCTAATGTCAACAAATGATAATTCTCAGATATCAGTTCGTTATAGTTTTAGTTATATTATAGGGAGATGAAAATTGTGGATATCTTGAAGAATGGCTGAAAGAATAACTTCACTTCAGGTTACTGATGAGGATATGATATCCGAAATGAATTAATATAACCTGTTTGTGAGAGATATGATTCCCATATCACTGATACGAATGATTTTTTTCTGGAAGTTCCAAGCCCATCAAGATCAGAGTTCATATAAGTATACTCCTCCTGAACATTTCAATTTTCATTTCATTACTGAACATATCGGTAAGTTATATTTTTATATCATAATACATCATATATTCGACTTCAGAGGATTTTGATCTATCATGCTTTCTTTTTTGGATATTCAACAGAAACACAAACAATTTCTTGAGCAAAATAGACAAGATAATGGGGGGATTTTGGATGAACAATCAAGCAGTGGGACATAAAAATTGTGAAATTGGTATAATACATCAAAACGTTCAATCAATTGGTAACTGTGTGGACGAGTTGGATGAGCTGATATCTGATAATGCAAACTGCCAAATTCTGTGTATCACAGAATACTGGAAAACGGAGGAGCAATTAAAATCTTTCAACCTAAAGAATTTCTTATTGGTGGCAAGTTTTTGTAGACATAATGACAATGAGCATGATGGTACAGCAATATATCTAAGAAAAGGAATTCAAAGTGTCGAACGAGACGAGTTCAAAAAGTTATCAATTAAAAATCAAATTGAATGTGCGGCATGTGAAGTTATTATTGAAAAGAGGAAACTGCTTATACTCTCTATTTACAGGCCTACAGGAGCAAACGTTGAAATATATTTTTCTAAATTTGAAGAAATTTTGAAGGTGGTATATAATGAAGGAAATGTTGTAATTGCTGGTGACTTCAAAATCAATCTAAAAGGAGAAACATTAGATAAATTCAGACTCTGTGATATGATAAACTCATTCAACATCATCCACAAAATTGATGAGTATACCAGAGTTACACCATCATCCCAATCATGTGTAGATAAAATGTTAACTAATATAGATGACTGTGTCTCAGCTGAAGTATTACATACCTCTATATCAGATTATTTCGCACAGAAACTAACATTTCTTACTCGAAAAACAACTTGTTTTTATACCTACAGCAGATGTTTCAATGCAAGTAATATGAAAAAATTCGAGGAAATAATGAAATTGCAAGATTGGTCTCGTATATATTGCTGATATTTTTATGAAAACATTCGAGGAATGTTTCCCATTGAGAAAAATTTTGAATAGATCAAAAAATAAACATCATAAGTTATATGATCAGGGAATAGAGGAATGTGAGAATCGGCTGAATATTCTTTATACTATGAGTAAAGTAGATCATAGGTTTATTGATTCCTATCGACTCGTAAAAAAGAATATAATGAAAAACTGACAGGCAGACGACAAAAACTTTATGAGCAAAAAATATCTCAATCTGATGATAAATCCAAAACAGTATGGCAAATAGTGAATAGTATAACTGGGAGAAGTAATGTACATAATTCCATAAAAGTAGAAGGAAGCGCACAGTATATAGCTGATAGCTTCTTGAAATATATAACTGATTCTATTGATGA